CTCAGATTACGAGTTGAGCGCCTTAACCACCTGACCATATCCTCGGAAAGAATTTATACCGGAAATTAACAAACGAGCAGATACGTAACAGTATGTTGCTAATTAGCAAATGAAACAAGAAACGGCAAGACGCTTATTTTAGTAAAAATATGAGGGTAATAGTTTTAAAACAATCTATGATTTGCTGCCAAACAGAAATATTTATATTTATGGCAGAACTACAATGGCTATCTGCTGCGGCATTCCCTAATTTTGAGCTTCTGACCAGGGGGTCGGTAGTCACTTAGAGAAATGAAACTAGTAGAGATCCGCTATATTGATTATGCGATATAACTGTGTTTATTAACAAAGAGAAGTGAGTATAATTATCTAATTTTTATGATTTTACTGTTGCAGTGTGAATTCGTTTTGTTTTTTTCTTATTAGTTTTTACATTACTTTTGTGGGCGTGACATACCCCCGCTGGTTAGGGCTGGCGCTTCACTCACAATCTGGGAGAAGCAGGAGGAATATTTGTTTAGTTCTGTCATCGTTGGACTTGTGATCAAAGTTCGATAGGGTGTATTTAATTCATCTTGATAATGCCGGTAGGTGAAATGTTTTGGCATTAAAGATTTTTCACAGGATATTGGCTGTTTCTACCTGAATTCTTCCAAATCCATCACCGAACAAGTTCGCCTTTCATTGTTGCAGCCTTGGGACCTTACAATTATAAGTTATAAAGTGACAGTCGGCCACAATTATTCGTTAATTTAAAGCAGTGCTTCTCAACATTTTCAAATATCATTCACTCTTATAAGTCTTTCACAACTCACTTACCCCATTTCAAAAAAAGACAATAAAGTACTCGATTAAAATGCAAAATTCTTTATTATGAGATAAATACAGATCAAACTACAACTACAATAAATACAAAATAAACTTAAAGTAAACCAAAAAATAAATAACTGCAACTAGACTAAGTAATAATAACTAAGTACTTTTTTCTGTTATTCTGGTAAACAAAATAATTCCTAAGAGGTCAATACTGAACCTGACCCTCCCTTGTCTAAAACATGAACCAAATCCTGATGAAGAAGAAAGTACATCCTCACAGCTTTTCCTAGTGTTAGTTTCTGAGTAGTATGAGAGACATTTAATAATTGATGTGTAGTTTTATATAATAAGAAATAATTTCGTTAAGAGCAATAGGATGTCCTCTTTTCTAAAAGTAATACTACTAATAAGGGGAGCTCAAAACAGTACCTCAGTAATAGTATTGATTTGTAAATTGTATAGAGAAATAATTACTTCTTTTGGCATGTTCTTAAAAAGGGAGAAACAATAACATTAACAGGGAAAACCAAATCTAATAGGCTTACTCAGAGTCAGAGACAAAAAATATGGAAATCACAGATAGATGCCATGGTTTTAAGAAATTTAAATTGATATGTTAGATTGGAGATTTAAAGAACTGTTTGAAGGCTTGTGATCTGATTAATAAAGAAATTAGAAACTCCAATTGTATTATGGCTTAAAAGGAGCTAACTAATTATGATAAAACTAACAGTAACAGCAAGGATTTTTTAAATTATGTTGTGGTCAGCAAAATGTAAGGATGGTGACTGGGTTGTTAAATGATTGATGCTGAAGGCAAGGTTATTGTTGAAACTTTGAGATGGCTGAGCTTTTAAATGTTCTCTTCTGTTTTTCCAAAAGAGGATTTTACAAGAATTCCTGTCTTTGAGTATTCAATTTTAGGTGGGTCAATAGACAGTGAGCAGGTGCACGAGGTTTAGAGAATTTCTAATATTACTCCCATTTTTAAAGAGGCTGATACGTATTGCCATAGAAATTATAGACTTATTGATCTTTATCTGTAGTGGGAAAAACTTATAAGAGTGATCAAAGAAGCTTTGCAAAATCATTTAATGAAATGTGCTATCATGAAAGAGAACCAAATTAGATTCACTAAAGAGAAGTCTCGCTAATCTGTTAACAGTTTTTCAAGATGATACTGGATATTGGAAAGGGTTTGGATTTTGTGTACGTGCTGTAGAAAAGGTTAGCGAAGAATTTAGTGTATCTGGATTTTCAGAAAGCATTTGACAAGGTGCCACATAAAAGGCTTGTAAAAACAATTATCTCAATAGGTGTGGGGGATATGTTAGCTAATTGGATAGAAGAGTGGCTGGAAGGAAGAAAGTAGGGAGTTGTTATAAATGGAGTTCAGTTAAACTGGTTTAATGTCACAAGTGGGTTATCTCAGGGCTTAGTCTTAAGACCTTAGCTCTTTTTTAATTTAGATCGGTGACATAGATGAAGTTACATAAATTTGCAGATGATACTAAGATATTGGGTGTTGCTGGCTGTGAGAAGGATGCTGCTGCTTTACAAAAGGACTTAGATCATTTAGTGAGTTGGGAAATAAATGGCATGTGGGTTTTAATTATAATAAATGCAAGATAATGTATGTGGGTTATCATAATTTGAATTATAAGTATAATTTGGATGGTAATAACAGTGTTATGAAAGAAAGGGATCGTGGTTTAGTGATGAATCAATCTCTTAAGCGATCCAAACAGTGTGCTGTTGCTAATGGTAGGGCAAATAGGATTTTAGGTTGTATCTACAGAAATATAGAATACAAATCTAAAGAGGTTATAATTTCATTGTATACGTCACTGCATTTTTAGGCCATATCTAGAGTATTGTGTTCAGTCTTGGGCTCCTTACCTTAGGAAGAACACTGAATTTTTGGAAAGGGTTCAGAGGATGACTACTAGAATGGTGCCTGGGATGGAGGGGTTGTCATATGAGGAAAGGTTAAGATCTCTGAAATTGTTTTCTCTTGAAAAATGAAGGATTAGGGGGGATCTGATTGAGGTGTTTAAGATTGTTAAGGGAATTGATAGTGTTGATGCATCATCTTTTTCTTCATACTTAATGGTGAGAATGATAGAACTAGGGGACACAGATATACATTTTGACAGTGTAGGAGTCATCTTCATCTAAGACAGTTTTATATTTCTAACAGGGTCGTTGGCCTTAGCAAAGGATTGCCTTCGGATGTTGTGGAGGCAGTAAATTTAAATGAGTTTAAGAGAAAGCTTGATAACTATATGAAGGGCTGACTTTGAGGTTTATTTATTTTATTTTTATTTAATACTTTGAGTTCAGTTTAGAGGATGGAACAGCTTAGATGGACCAGCAGATCCCTTGTTGTCTCTAAACATTGTTATGTTATTATTTCATATTTGATGAAAAATAAAGATAAACTTTATTTTTGTGCCCAAAATTTTTGAGATGAAATCATACTAACTAGAAACTTATTTAGGTCTGTGAACAAAACCTAAATCCAAATTTTACAATACTACATGCTACAAAGTTCTTATGGAATTAGCAATAACACTAGCTTCAAGTACTTTATAAATTTGAAGTAATATTTTTAAACAAACTTAGCTAATAAATGAACTGTTAGTAGTATACAAGGATAATAAACGTACACAAAATGAATTATAAGAAAACTTATACCATAGTTTATTCAGCTACTACTTCTTTGACAGTTTCTCCAAAATAAAATCAGTTGATGAGTCATTGATCATAAAATGAAACAGAAGAAATTAAGAATTGCAAAACAAAATACTTTAAAGTCAGAGAAACCAAAGAAACTTGTAAAGTTGGAGGTTAATCTTTAGTTTCAGAGACTTATTTCTATTCAAATAAATAAAAAACTCACTTGCATATTTATAATTCTTGAAATTATAATAATTGTCATTATGTGCTACTTTTGTAGATTAGTCCTTCAAGGCATTCTTCACAAGTGTTACGCTGACCTAGACAGTTGCTGCTCATTTCTCCATTGTTTGTTCATCATGAAGATTCTGCCTAAATCAACTATAAAATATTTTTATATGCTTTTATTGCATCGTTGTGTATTTAACCAAAAAAATTGATTCAACTATATTTACATATTGTTTTGTATATTAAAGGAAATTATACATGTCATGTAATAACAATCTTTGAACAGCTACTTGTCATTTGTCCCAGTTTGTTTTATATTTGTTTAGTTGTGTTTTAAATGTTGCTGAAAACTCATCTGTGTTTGGGATATTTCCTGTCTGTTGATGAACTTTCAGGATACTCATTCTTGACCAAAAACTATTTGTTGTGTCTTGGAGGGTGTCTAGTCCAACTGTTTCAGAATGTCTGTATCTGTGAGACTTCGAAATTCTCCTATCAACTCTCCTAAATCTTCTCCTTGTACTTCTCCTCGATTTTTACATAAGCATCCTCGATCTCCAGCAGCCAGAAGAAGCATCATGCCTGTAGTGGTAATCCATGGTGGGGCTGCTGTAGTTTCACCTGATAAAGTACAGTTGAAATTGGAGGGAGTAAAAAGAGCAGCTAACATCGGTTATGAAGTCCTGCAGTCAAGTAATGGAACAGCATTAGATGCCGTAGAAGCAGCAGTTAAAGTTATGGAAGATGATCCTGTGTTTAATGCAGGTATATCTAGTTGATTATTATATATTTACTCTGTATAAGGAAATCAATTAACTTAGAATAGTATGGACTGTTTTAAGGAAAATTTTGTTCCTTACTCATAAATGTATTTGTCAAAACTGTACAATAATGTAAGTTATTTAAATTCGGTGTATGGTACATGTGTTATATTGGATATATATCAACCCCAAAATCATTGAGGAAGTGATGGAAAAGTATTTGTAACCATGAAGTAAACCACATTTTTCTCTGAAATATAGATTTGTAGAACCTGTCATGCAGGATATTTCTTTGGAAAGGGGGGGGGGAGTCAGGATTTTACTGGGTGACTGATGTGGCACAGAGTATTGTGGTGCTAAAGGTGCATTATGTCTATGAACATGGACTGGTGGGATTCTCCTAGTTTTTAACAGTTACTTCTATAATGGAGTATTTTAAAGTGTGCCTCACTTATTTCACACTTAAAAGGTATTATCTAGAACCAGAGTTCTCAATAGGGTCCACTTTTTTCTTCAAGAGTCCCAGTGAGATAGGTAGAATTTAATAAACTCAACAAAAGTAAAAAAGCACTTCAGTTTCAATGAAAAACTTTATTTACAATGTACACTACATATTTACCTTCTGCAAGTGGAAAAGAGCATGCTGATGTTCAATGAAAAACTTTATTTACAATGTACGCTACATGTTTACCTTCTGCAAGTGGAAAAGAGCATGCTGATGTTCAATGAAAAACTTTATTTACAATGTACACTACATATTTGCCTTCTGCAAGTGGAAAAGAGCATGCTGATGTTCAATGAAAAACTTTATTTACAATGTACACTACATATTTACCTTCTGCAAGTGGAAAAGAGCATGCTGATGTTCAATGAAAAACTTTATTTACAATGTACACTACATATTTA